ATGGGAGGTTTGCTAAGCACTCAAGAAGCTATATATTGTTTTAATATTCAGAGAGGATTTTCTCAACCCTATGAAAAAGCTGTAACTTTGACACTAGCACACAAGAAAGAGTTAATCACCCCATTACTAACAAGTTATAAATTGTCCCAGAACTCCCCATTTTAACAAAGATATAAACTTGTGAACATCAGAACCATGAAAATTCGAGCTTTTGGAAACTTTGAGACTTACAGACAAGAAAGAGCCAATCGAAAATACAAAATTTTCATGGTTGTTTTATAGTTTGATAAAAAAAAACAGCTAGCTAGGAAAAGAAAAGTAACACATAAGCCTACAATTCACCTTTGATTTATTTTAAATTCCACATACAAATTGTAAATATATTAAGGTGGGGACATTAACAAGTAGCACCTGCTGTATCTAGAGGATGTGAAGGTTTCCTAAGATTGTGTGTGGTTTCTTTTTTATTCTGATTTGTTTTTTCTTCGATTGTCATAAATCTTTCAGTTTCATGACTTCAGGGCTATGTTTTATGCCCATGAGGTTTTTTTCCAACATTCGAATTACAAATATCATGACTCCAGGTAGTGGAATGGCCAAGGAGACACACAGGCACACCAAGTATGCAAGAAGAAATGAGTATCGCCGTGGAAGAGGAAGAATGGAATAGGTGATGGAGCCATCATTACCTGCGACAACAAAACAAATAATTTTCTGTAGACACAAAATAGTAAGATATCCTCTTGCAATACAAATACAAACAAAATGTATGGCTTGTGGGAAGGAAGAATGACATCAACCATTTGACCTCTTGGAGTGGCCTGTGTCCAATGTCACCTCCTGGTGTCAGCTCTGAATCACTCATTAAGGTCAAGAGTAAAGAGGCCCTTCATTGTTAACAAATTCTCCTTGTCAGTCAGCACCTTGAGACATGTATAGAGCACAGTATGGAGAATATACATACTGATGTTAGGGTGGAAAGGGTTAAAGGGGTGATCTCTGATTGATAAAATGATAACCTCAATTCAAAGAAGAATGTTACAGTTGTTTGTTTGTTGGTACTGACAGCTTACCTATAACTGCTACAGCTGCCCCCATCATCTTGGTTCCCATGCGATAGCTGCAGGTAGGCACCACATATTCCGTAAATGTAAATATTCCAAACTCATGTTGAACAGTGTCTGGCTAAAAAGAAAAATTGAAGGAAAGATTAGTTCTGGGTCAAATGACAGGTTAGTGACACTCTTTATTGAGGATCACTAACAAAAGTTTCTAAAAGGAATAAAACCTAATGCCTGGATGCCAAAGAGTTTGTCTTCCAAAGGCTGTACAACCCGTAACTGGTTTTAAATCAACAATGATTTTGGATGTTTATTAATTAACTGCCAGAATTGAGCAATTAATCTCATCGTGATTACCTCTTACAATAACCTCAATTTCAAGTCTCTTTTAAAGTAAGAATACATCTCTATAGATTGAGAACAAACTACCCAATCAACAATTATCAAAATTTTAAAATCTTCAACTAAAATGAGGTGTCACATACACTTGGTGTCAAAAACAGATGATGAAGTACAAATGAGGTGTCACATACACTTGGTATTAAAAACAGATGATGAAGTACAAATGATG